TGGAGCCCAGCCCCGCACCAGCCACCACCTGGCAGGCACTGGGAAGAGGCACAGGGCAGAGGCTGGTCTTCTGCTCAGGCTTTGGCCACGCCCCTCCGGCCACGCCCCCGGCCACACTCCACACAAAGTCTCAAAGGCAGCAGCTCCGGCCTCGCAAGCGGATGGCGGGGCAAGGTCTCCCCTAGAGCTAAACGCAGAAGCAGCGGGTGCAGCTGAGCGCCTAGGCTTCACCCCGTGGAGCACGGGGCGCGCGGCCACCGCAGGCTGGTCTGGGACCTAATTCAGATGGAACCCGCCCCAGCCGCTGGCACGACGAACAAGTAGAGAATCCACGGTTCCCATGGCGGAACTGTGTCCCCCAGATCCACGGTGGCGTCCTAACCCCAGCACCGCAGGACGAGCCCTGTAAGGAGGCGATGAGGTTAAAGCGGGGCCACTAGGGAGAGGCTCTGTGTCCTCTGAGGAGAGAGAGGACACACAGAGGGAAGACCACGTGAGGACACGGAGAAGCCGCTGTCTACACGCCAAGGAGAGGGGCTCAGAGACACCAGTGCTGCCGCACCCGGACCCCGACTTCCGGCTCCAGGACTGAGAAAACACCTCTCTGTCACTCCGACCCGTGGCATTTTCCATGCGACTCGAGCCGACCAAGACTGTGGGAGGCACCTCTGTGCAGGTGCACAGCGCCGCAGCCAGGAATCGCCGCGAGATGGGTCCTGGCCTCCCCGCGCGGGGGCGAAGTGCTCCCCTTCGGCCTCTCCAACACAGGACTTCTGGGCCTGGGCTGTGAGCCACGGCCAAGGGCAGAAGCAAGTCACTGGGCCGGGGAGGAGCAAGCCAGGAGCACATGGGGGTGCGGGAAGAATTCGGCAGTGTTTTCCAGTCTTCCTGGAAAAACTGGCTCAAACTGGGCTTTGTCTGAGCACCCCCTCGTGGCCGGAAGCCTGGAGGAAGGACGCAAGCCCGGGCACAGATACATGACAGAACGTCAGGCTGTGAGGTGTCCAGGGGGGTGCCCTGGGGACCAGGTCTTAGTTAACATCTTCATTAGTGATCTGGAAGGAGCAGTAACAGCACATTAATTAAATTTCCAGATGACACTAAATTTGGAGGTGCCACAGAAAGTCGATGAGGACAGAGAAATGGTGCAGATGGGATCCAACGAGGTCAGTTAGGAGAGTATCCAAAAAAAAAAAAAAAAAAGCTAATTAAGAACGCGGGAAGAATTCGGCAGTGTTTTCCAGTCTTCCTGGAAAAACTGGCTCAAACTGGGCTTTGTCTGAGCACCCCCTCGTGGCCGGAAGCCTGGAGGAAGGACGCAAGCCCGGGCACAGATACATGACAGAACGTCAGGCTGTGAGGTGTCCAGGGGGGTGCCCTGGGGACCAGGTCTTAGTTAACATCTTCATTAGTGATCTGGAAGGAGCAGTAACAGCACATTAATTAAATTTCCAGATGACACTAAATTTGGAGGTGCCACAGAAAGTCGATGAGGACAGAGAAATGGTGCAGACGGGATCCAACGAGGTCAGTTAGGAGAGTATCCAAAAAAAAAAAAGCTAATTAAGAACGTCCCTGTATCTGGAACCCCGTCTGCTCTCTACCCGACGACTGGAAGAACAATGCAGGTGTCCCGTGTGGTCTCGGCTCTCACGGGAAGCCCTCGTCTCCACAGTCAGGAGCGGGCGGACTCGGCCGTGCTCAGGCAGCCCCCTGGCACTCAGAATTCTCCTTCCGCTAGTCAAAACCCAAAGCCACACAGACCTGGCAACACGTGCACCTGGGCCTGCTAGGAATCCACTCAGGAGGGCCTGTGCAGACACACGCGTCTGAGTGCACCTGCAGCCCATGCACCCAGCTGGGAACGGAGCAAGTCCTGGCACCATATGTTCACAAAGACAGTCATGGAACTCTGTGCCCAGAGGGTGATGCCAACGCTCGGGACGCACCGAGCAACAAAATATCTGGGTATAAAGATCCTGGATAATTTGCTGCACTCCCACGTCCACTGCAGCGTTATTTACAGCAGACAAGACACATCCCAAGTGTCCACTGATGGATGAATGGATAGAAAAAACACATGTAGCACGCACCCTCCACACGCACAGCACGCATAGCACACACGCACAGCACGCACAGCACACACCTTCCACACACACAGCACACACCCTTCACACGCACAGCACGCACAGCACACACCCTCCACACGCACAGCACACACCCTTCACACGCACAACACACACAGCACACACCCTCCACACACACAGCACACACTCCACACACACAG